CACGGCACTATAGGAAACTATGTTGACATAAGATTTAATTTTTTATTTGATATAGTTTCTCGCCGCAGGCAGCAATATGTACCGTAGTGGGCGACTTATAAATAATATGTACCAGTGGCTGAAATCATGATCAATCAGATGACAGATAATCTTAATCTTTATTCCGCATTATCACTAATAATAACAGATAATCTTATCTTAATCTTAATCTGCATTCCGCGTTATCACTATTTAAAAACAGATACATTGCCATATCTACCACAATGGGTGTTATTTGTATAATTCCAAAGTACAGACATTTCAAGCCTGTCATTGTTATATCCGAATTCGTACCAAGATAACCTTATTCACAATTGGAGGGGCTTTTAGATCAAATACAAATATTGAACGAGCAATCAACAACTATTTCTGAATCAATAAAACAACTGTCGATAATTATTAACTAGCCACGTGTGTTGAGCCTAAATATAGACCCATAACCATTGAGTAAACACTAACAGTCATTATTCTAAGTATAAGGGTTAGTTTTTTTTTCACTGAAGGAGCGCGCCATTTTGGTTTCTCTAAAAGATTTGGAGTTTTTAAAATGAAATAAGAGTGACTTAATCTGGACATGTTTTAACCAATTGCCTGTCACATTCTGTGACTTAGTCATGTTTCGTTATGTAGATAATCCATGCAATCTTTTCTTTGTGTTTTTGAAAGGGCTCAAAATGTTTAGGAGAAATGTATCTCCTTTCGCTAAAGTTAACCGGTCTATATTTTGTGAGAATAAACTTGCGCTTTGAGCGATTGTCGCCTTTAGCTATAGGCATAGTATAGAGCATTATCACGCACTGACGTTGCAATGCTGTGCATCGTATCTTATTCAATCTGTATCACTGAGAGTGAGTACTTAACACCCTTACCCGAATTGCTCTATTGCGCACTACCTTTACAAGATATCGTATGTTATTCAGGCAGCCAGCAAGAAAGGTTCCAGGTGGGAACTATGGTCAAGGATGTAACGTGATGCAGGTCTTAGACGTTCACCACTTTGGTGAAACCAACGAGCACGCTTATAGTGCTGACAACATAATTAGGCCGAACCGGGATTCGAACACACTATCACAGGTTTCTGGCGTGCATATAGCGAGTTGCAGCGCCTTAGGCGATTGTGCCAACCGTGTCCCCGTACACAACTGTAACAAACTGTCACACAACAAATATGTTTTAGATGAGATATGTAGTGCGTAATATTCCACGAAGAAACAGTGGCAATATTAAACTATAACAAACTACAATATATATACACAATAAGAGCAAAACACACAGGTACATTCAACATACAGAGGAGGTACATTATAACAAATTTATTTTAAAGCAAGTGTATTACAGTAATATGGAAACAATATTAGAAATGAACAAAACTATGGTAAAATGTTGTACATACAAGGAATCTGTTTATAATTGTAGATATGATAACGGATCTTGGAAATTGTTTCTGGATAACTGTTGTTAAACATTATTAAGAATGGTTCCTTTAAACAGAGTGTTTTAATTCTTTATCGTGATTGAGGATTATTTGTGATTCTCTTTCTTGGTTGTATAATGTTGCTCATCTTCTCAGACATCACATGTTTCACAGAGACGTTGTTCCAATGGAGTACCAGTTTCAATCTTTAGTTTGTGATTACTTAAACGTAGTTTTGAGAAAAGTTACATGTGAGCTTTGTTTTTAAACTATGTAAGATAATTATCAATATTTATAGATAACTGGACCAACCTGTATGTTCTTAACTTGCTGTCGGATAAATGGGAATCCCTTAATGAATGCGTGAACATATTTTTACATTTGGACTTCAGTTTTTTTACTGTTGATTCATTACATTTGTTTGTGTTTACTATGGCAAAAGTTTGTTTTATTAAACCCAGCCAACATTTTGACCAAAAAGATTGATATTTGCTGCCAAAGCATGTTTAAGAATGACATTTGTTGTGTTATCAATATAGGTCTTGTAATCAATTATTTTATATATCATTGGTACTAATAGTGGGTATATACCAAGTTCTGCCTGACAGGCAGGTGTTTTCTTGCCATGGTTATCCTTGTGCTGACCATTTATAGACACTGTTTCTTTTATTGTGCTTACCAAAGATAACTATATTAACAACAACAAATTTGAACTTTACACCAATCCTCTCCTCCCATTGCTTACACGTCCTTCCTCTGCATATGACATTATATGGCGGGGAACAGTTGATGCACTGCAGCAATCTCTACTTGTATTATTTAGCATAGATATATGTCGGTGAATAAACTTGCCTCAGTCCCAATTCTTTCCACGCGTTTTTATCAATTCATGATCGAATTGCTCCATAGACCAGTTGTGTGAATGTACATTAATACAGTAGTTGTGTGAAGTGGGCCGTTTGTTTAAATCCGCATTTTTACATTTTGTGTTGCATCAGCTGCTTGTGACAGATTGAACTTGCACATATTGTCTCGGAGTTGTGGAGTTGATTCAGCTTACCGGTAAGATAATATTTGTAGTGATATGTCACGGGGAAATAAGGCTTAGCGAAAGGGAATGCGGGGGTTAAAGGCAATTCAATTTTATAATCATGGTTCACTGATGTACACAACGCATGTAACGTGTGGTGCAAATTTATTTCGGAACCTTTTTATAATAAGATCGTACTTCGGGCTCGGGCTTCGAGTCCTACTTGTAAACATGTCAGATTACTTTGTTGTTTCAATAATTAGTCATGCAGGATAGTGTCAATACAAGTGTTGAACTGTACACATACCTCAGATCACTTTGTTGTTTCCATAATTAGTCATGCAAGGATAGTGTCAATACAAGTGTCGAACTGTACACATACCTCAGATCACTTTGTTGTTTCCACAATTAGTCATGCAAGGATAGTGTCAATACAAGTGTCGAACTGTACACATACCTCAGATCACTTTGTTGTTTCCATAATTAGTCATGCAGGATAGTGTCAATACAAGTGTCGAACTGTACACATACCTCAGATCACTTTGTTGTTTCCATAATTAGTCATGCAGGATAGTGTCAATACAAGTGTCGAACTGTAAATATACGCCATATCACTTTCTTGTTTCCATAATTAGTCATGCAGGATAGTGTCAATACAAGTGTCGAACTGTACACATACCTCATATCACTTTGTTGTTTCCATAATTAGTCATGCAGGATAGTGTCAATACAAGTGTCGGACTGTACACATACCTCAGATCACTTTGTTGTTTCCATAATTAGTCATGCAGGATAGTGTCAATACAAGTGTCGAACTGTAAATATACGCCATATCACTTTCTTGTTTCCATAATTAGTCATGTAGGATAGTGTCAATACAAGTGTCGACCTGTAAACAGACGTCATATCACCTTGTTACCATACTTATTTGTGAATGCCAACGTTAATTATAACTTTAATAGTATTCGGCTCAGGTAATAGCTAAACCTTTGTTAAAGCAGTTATTTTCGCGAAGTAGTAGTGCGCTTTATTTAGTGTAAGTTCAGTAAAAAGTGGGTAATATGTTGTAACTTGAACTGTCTACAGAAACAAATGATGCAACATACATATTTGTATATATGTTAGGAACACGTGTCACCACTGGTCATATAAAACCAATCGTTGTAGATGCGGTGAAAATATGGTATTGGTATCCAGCTTTATTATGCGCCCATATCCTGCACGAGAAACGCTCCTTTTCAGTATGTGGTGCATTCTCGACGTGTACGTTCTCGGTGTGTGGCTGAACTAAAGGCAAAGACATGTACATACAGCAGGTGACATCTCCATCAATGTATGGAATGAAGGTGATGGATTACACTTCGATTCTGAAGCTTAGACAAAGATCCTTTTCTGAAGTATGTTAGAAACCAAAGAAAATTAAGAATTGATAATCACAGTGCAATACATATACCTCATTACTAATATGCAGACATAAATACTGGTTTCAAAGATTTCAAAGAGCGTCATACAACTCTTGCTCATAAGTTGCTTGATCCAGGTTACAACATTCAAGGCCTCACTAAAGCTTTCAAAAAGTTTTATGGGAGACATGTGGAAGACATTTCCTAATTTGGCGCATCGGTGACAAAAATGATGTCCGATGCAATTCCCTATTTTGACTTGTACCATGAGTTTCCATTTTTTTTTAGATGAACAATTGACTTGCCATTGCATGTGTTTGTGACGGGTGCCACCGATGGGGCAGGATACGCTCATCTTTTCGCGAACATCTGGTATCATTACTATTTGATAGTGATTCATAAACACATGCTTTTTTACGCTAATGCCAACAGACTATTATAGTGACGTCATTACATGATCTGATATCGTTTGATAATTGTCCAACAGCCAATTCCCTTCCACTGATTTAGCCACGTGAACTTGAAATAAAAGAGACCAGTGAAAACGACTCATCTGTTCATACTTTGATCTAAATAGAAAGATTCAGGGTGACAAAAGCTACCCACAAGACTGTATGACAAGAGGGATGACTTCAGCTTGTCAAAAGTAAACTTTCCCTTTCCGTTGAGCAACACTCCTGCAGTTCCAACCTTTGGTGTCTACAACTTTTGAGGTACAATGGAGCATGCTCTTTCCATCATGATTTAAAAGAACGTCATACGATTCTTGCTCAAAAGATGTTTGACCTTGGTTAGTTTCAGCATGCAATACCTTTATAGTAAAGCTTTTAAAACACACCGGTGGGGCAAGATACGCTCAACCTATCGATAACACCAGGTACCATCACAAATTAATAGTGGTTCATATGTGCACGTTTATGGTGTGGTCGGAATCGTACAACAGACTCTCTGTAATGAGATGCGGTGGCATAAAGAAACAGACCTCCGCATATAAATGGTGGGATAAAGACTATTAACAAAAAAGGGTCTCAGGAAATTAATACTACTTTTCCTAATGTTTATTATTTCACATACTGTCGGAAGCACAAGATGGGCATTTCATCGTTATAACAAGCAATTGTTGGATGCGTCATCGTCATGGTTTTATCCATAATTTGGCTGGTTTCATATACAGAAAACACGTCACGGATAAACATGAAGACACGGGTCGCCTCTTCATCCGTGTTATTACCATCAGTTGCCAAAAAGGACATAGAATGTCCCAAAGTCTCCCTCTCCAAGAAGCCTCTGCCCCTCACTGTTCTGGTCAGCTTCCCAGGATCCGGTAACACGTGGACAAGACACCTGCTGGAACAGATGACAGGTGTGCCTTGTTTAATCATCGTATATGTGTCTATTTTACTTCATGGCTGACTCTGCACCATGTGTCTCGGTTTGTCTTTAGTGATGTGATTCTCTTTGATCTTGTGTATCTCACACCCTATGAGTTGCTATATCAGTGACACTTGGAACCACAGCAAGGTGTGTCCTTTCCTCTCTCGACCATTCCTTTAAGTGCCATGTTTGCTTCCGGTATCTGATTTCTTTGATTCGTATGTTCCTACAAATTAGTATGTATAGATTAAAATAAAAAAATGCAGCAAAAGAGGGTTAAGGTGATCCTTGCACAGTCTGGATAATTAGGCTCATCATCAGCTCAGGGCCCTTGCTCCCTCCACACCCCAGCCCAGACAGCGAATGGGACTTCTCCCATTTTCTCCTTATTTACTGTAAAGGCGAAGTTTCATAGTGTGCTAAGATGCCTTCCTTTGTTTCACAGGTGTTGCAACAGGCTCAGATGACTTCGATAAAAACCTAGAAGCACGTGGGTTCCTCGGTGAGAGGAAAATGGATGGCTCAACCATAGCAGTGAAAACCCACACTCTGTACAAACCCCAATCAAGGAAACCCCTACGTGATATCAAGCGAGCGATTCTCATCATCAGGAATCCCTATAATGCAATGGTGGCCGACTTCAACCGACTTCACTCTAAAAGCCACGTTGGAACGGTGTCTCTTCCAATTTTCATTAGGGGTAGGCATCTGTTAAAGCAACATTGTTCATTTACTGTTACTCTAAACGCCACGTTGGAATAGTGTCTTTTCCAGTGGTCATCAAAAGTAGGCATCATATCAAACTGTCCCTTTTCTCAGTTTTCTCGTAGGCAAGTACCATTAAGTTGTATGACCTAAAACATTCATAAAAGCATGATGACTTTAGATATTCCACCAAACAATAAATAGAGCATGTAAACATACTATGTTCTTTTTTTCTTTCAGACTGGAAGAGATATCTTTCCGAATGGTCTCATAAATGGTACAGTTTGAACCATTCCTGGATCACACAAAAGGACAATCTTCTTGTAATATTTTACGAAAACCTCCAAAAACACCTGGAACAAGAACTAACTAGACTATATTCATTCCTTGATGATGGCAGTTTCCATGGCAACATACAATGTGCTTTGAACATTACAGAGGGAAACTTTCATAGATAAAAAAGTAAAGCGTTGCCAATATCGTTTTTCTATGGTGACAGTGATGTACGTCTCATGAACAGATATATCGACGATGTTTACATTTTGCTGAAGAAGTACAATCACAGTTTCTTTGACATTTCTTCAAATAAAATAAAGTTATAATATATACATGCTTAACATTTGATTGATGTTGTTGAACGCCCAATCCTAAAGATATACTGGACCAAATGGTAATTCCTTACACTAATCTTATAAAACGTATTCAATGCTGTCCGCCCCGTTCGGTCGATGTGACAAGATGTTCTACTTCTTGACGTTGATATAACCTGTGGCAATATAAAAAAAAACCACAGTGAAACTCGCGTAATGATTGTTAAATATCATATGAATACATATTGGTTACACAGCAATGACTTTTATTCTTACTCCTATGGTACAAATGCAGTCTTACCGGAAACTTAAGTCACTATTTTGTCAAATGTTGTTTCTTTATCACAGTGCAATTACCGACCATCACGGTTTAGATGTCTGACTAAAAACAACATGTCGTTTTTTCCTTCGAAGAAACATCCTACTTTTAACGGTTCATCATGGTGAAGACACATTTACATTATTTACACTCCCGACAACAGAACATTTACATTGCCAGGAAGATTTTAAGAAACACTTCTTGAAATCCTTGTTCATGAAGGAATATATTATGAAGTTCATGCCAGAGTTCAGTAATCCAAGAGATAGTGAAATGCTCGTAGTAGTGCTGCCCACCCCGTTGGTATTGCCAAGAATGTTTACCACTGCCGACGGTAACCAACACACGACGAACGTCCCGTACACCATGATAAAAAGTCTGACGGAACGGAATGTTGATTTGTAGCGTATTGTAGATCTCATCGGTGACCCCCGTGCTTGAATGCGTTGGCGGTGTTGGATAGCTTCCCTTGTAATGAGGCCGTACATGATTGCGTTCAACACAAAGACGGTGGCTGTGAAGGGCATGATGAAGTACAGTTGAAATGGTTTGGACACCACGTGAAAGAAGCTACAATACCCAGGCCAGGTCGACGTCAGCAGAGTAGAAGTCCCCACTACTATGGACACACACCATGTACACAGGATGATGAGGCCAGTTTTCTTCGGACTGAGGTACATGTGGTAATGGAGAGGGTACTTGATGTAGACGTACCTGTCCACGGATATAGCACAGATGCAGAGGAAAGACTCAGACAGAATTAGATACAGCGCCCCATATCGAAATGCACAGTTGAACAAGGACATGTCTAACATGTCCTCCACTCTAGGGACAATAGAGGACACGTAGAAGGGGAATGTAAGTCCTGTAAGAAAGTCACTACACGCTAAAGACACGATGTACATGTTGGGCGTGGTGCGGAGTGCCTCTGTCCGATACACAGCTACTACAGTGAGGAGATTGCCAACACAGACTAAACATCCTACTAGTGTGAACTGAGCCAAGGTGAATATCTCAGTGCCACTCAAACTCCTGCATGGTGCTATTGTCATTTTCATCATATTGGTGTTCACGGTAGACAGGTTGGCACCAAACGGAATATATTCCATCGATTCTGAACACAATTATAATTAAACGCATAGCCTGTTGTTAGAGTTCACCATTTATATCCAAAGTCCAAACGTTATCACTCATGCTTTCGCCCAAGGCAAACTGACAGCTCCCATATCCATATCAGTGCGTATCCTTGATGTAGACGAATTCTTCTGCAACTTGGATCCTGTCAAGTCGGACAAGTTTCGCCAGACCAATATTTCGAGCGACACGAATTGCAATATATATCACGCTGGCACGGTCAGCTAATGTTTTATCAGTTAATGGTCTCTCGTTCACCTGCTCCTCCTCTTGTACTTCTGGTTCATGTTCAAATAACCTGATCAATCACTTTATCACCCTTACCATCCCTCTGTTGCAAACACATTACCAGTTGTCCTCTGGAGGCTTTGATTTCTGTTATCTATATACGACAGTCATTCTTTTATTTGAAACTACAGCCTTTCGCGCCTCAGACATAATTGGATTCATCACGGAAATTTACAAGCCGGCGAAAGTAAACGATATGGTTAGATGGTGAGATAAAATGAGTTCAAGAATATTTCACTCATATAGCATTTGTAGTAAAATGTTTATCTAGAAAATCGATGCACATAAGACAAAAGGTGTATGGAGTGCGTCCAGCCAGACATTGGCTTATGAGACACTATAGACAAGAAAAACAAAAAGCAACGTGCGCACACGTGTGTCTGTGTGTGCGTGCGTGCGTGCGTGCATGTGTGTTTTATTCGCACTTATGCCGGTTTTTTAGTGCAAGCCTGATTGTGACACATTCGTATTTAATTCTGTTGCGCGTGATAGTTTTTAACAATATTCTAGATGGAAAACTTCTTCTTTGTGTATGTTTTTGTTATGAAACTAGTGTCATGAGGGTAAAAGTTTTAGAAGGAAAGGGCGGTCGGGTAGCCTAGTGGTTAGAGCGTTCGCTCGTCACATCGAAGACCCTGATTCGATTCCCGACATGGGTACAATGTGTGAAGCCCATTTCTTTGATATTGCTATAATATTGCTAAAGCGGCGTAAACCCACACTCACTCACTTAAGAAGTCAAATGTTATTTTTAGCATAGAGTTGAGGTGTGACAGGGTTAATAGTATTATGTTTTAAAGTTGCAATATGAAACAGTTTGTGAAATTCATGACAACATGTGTATGAATTATTGTCAAGATCAGAAATAGTATGATGATATTTTGAAGTAGATATCATAAGTAATTCGTATGGTAGGACAAATAATATCTTCAGCTTTAGTGTAGTCCATTTTAATGTTTGTCATCTTAAACAAGAAGATGGAAAGTGCTAGTAATATATTTACTATGGAGTGTAATGTACTTTGTTTACGTTTTCGAACACTCATTGGTGTAGTGTATTCAATTTAATGGTTTAATTGTTCTTCTGCCATGTTAGTCAATGATGATTCATGATGGAATAAGTGGAAATAGTATATACCTTTTTAAAGAATAGTCTATTTCAATATTCGTTATCTAAAATAAGATGCTTGCAAGAAGTGTCATGATTAGTAATATATACCTGTTCATAGTATAGTTTTTTTCAATATAGTCTTAAATAAGAAACTTGCAAGAAGTACTCGGTGATGAAGAATTACTATGGAATGTTGTGTTCAGATCAAGGTTAGTTTAATGGTTATATTTTCGAACGCTCATTGGTGTGTCGTGTTTCAGTATTTAATTACGCTTTTGACTGGTTATTCAATAATGGTTAATGATAGACAAATATACCACATATTGACATTTCTGAAATACTTGAACATGATGAGGTGATATACCTTTACTGTTGATATTATAAAGTTTTACAATGTATCATACTAGCGACAAATAGGTTCCAAATTGTCAATTGTCACCGTCACATGATGTGATGACGTCATGGCACGTCCGTCTGCGACGCCATGTTGTATGATTACTCCGAAATACAACTTTTTAGGGGTGTAACACGTACGTGCTTGTGTTAGGGATGCTACAGGAGGGGCAGGATGACTCACCTTTTCGTGAACACCTGGTATCATCACTATTTAACAGTAATGATTAAATAGGTGCTTATTATTAAGTCCGAATTGTACACTCGACACTGCTTTTAGCAGAGATTTCTTATGATTATGAATTAACGTTGTTACTTATATTTATGTAGTATGATATCGCACTAAAATGATACTGTGAGATATAAAACATTCAACTCAGCAGGTCCATCTAATGTCCCGCTAATTTATTCGATGAAAAACATCAAACTTGTACACTGTTGTAATGGAGTAAAAGAGTATTAATATCTGACTTACAATATTTGGCTTAATATGAACTGATTGAAACTTTGAGCTCACACATTATGTCGACAAAGCTAATACACTACTCAAAAAACACATACGTGGATTAAAGAAAGGTTTCAATCATTGTATTCAAAATCTTCTACCATACGTTGTTATTCAGTGATCAAACGAAAACATTATGTACGTATTATATATCAGCTTGTACTAACGGTATTCTCCTGCATACAGTGAAGTTGGTATTAAGGGTATAATGTATAATAATTCAGAACCACTAAAGATAGATCTAAGTGTTTTACCTATAACATCGACACCCGTCGGGTGTGTATAAAGTCCACAGATATTAATTATATGTACAAAACAAGTTATGTACCATTATGGAAAGAGGCGTGGCAGAGTTATTACTGTTACATGTGTTCTCCCATGTTTGCAGATTACATCTCAGCAATGTCCGACACAACGGCAAAGAAAGATAACTGTACTAGAAAGTATTTCAAGACATGTTGGTATGAGACTAAATCTGAATAAAACTAAGATTATTGTGTTCAGAAATGGTGCTTCCTTTAGGTTATATGAAAAGTTGATTTTGATGGTACATCTACAGAAACAGTGTCTTTACATAAATACACTGGACGTGTGTTCATCCCTAAATTAATCTGGTACAAATCTCTGACCTGTCTTGTATCACATGCAAACAAGGCAATATTTTCTGTTAATAATTATACAAGGGAACTTGGTAATATCAGTTGTCCAGATATCTTTAAGATATGTATGTTAACACTTATTCACTGTAATGATTCTGAAATATGGCCCACCACAAATTGTGATACTTTTGAATTTGTACATTATATTGTTTAACGTGTAGTAATATGGGCAATGTGGAAGAGTGTATTGGTGCAGAATATTACATGTGAACAATAGGTTACCTAAGTAATAATAATAATAATAACACGGCAAAACCCTTTCCATATCCAATAGAAATCTCTACATAAAGCAGAGTCGACTGTACGGCTATATAATGAGCATGTGTTATGAATCACTATCAAATAGTAATGATAGCCGGTGGCACTCGTCACAAACACATGCAAAGGCAAGTCAATTGTTCACTTGAAAAAAAACACACGGGAACATATGGTACGGGTCAAAACAGGGAATTGCATCGGACATCATTTTTGTCGCTGATGCGTCACATTTACCACAACCTTGAGTAATACAGGCATATGAAAACCCGTCTCGAACAGTAATTTACGCATATGCGAGGCCCAGTTTATTTTCCCATTACCATCAAAGCGTTTTAGCATCACGTAACATGCCTTTGGGTATCTGTACTTTTCCAAAAGTAGAAGCCTACACTAATAACCCATGCAACGACTGTAATAATGGACACATAAATGTCCCGAATAACGACACTACTTGACGTGCGTTTAGAAACACCTAGACACCTCTTAAAGGAATCGCTCTGCACCTTTTCTAAGGCCTCCCTAAAAGTTAATCCCCAGGAAGTTGATGGTGTAAGAGGTGTTAGATGTTCATTGGATTAGGTACCTGAAATTACGCATTTGCACTCTCAGCTCTAAATGGAATATTTATTACGCTTTATGTCTTTAAAGTTCATATTCTGAGAAAAAACCCACTTGTTATCAATCCATATATTCACAGTGAGACCTCTGTCCTAGTAGTAGTAGATTTACTGTGGTCAAAACATCAAAGTTTAGTTATTTAAACATAAATGTTTATCATGAGTGTATGATGTTATTTCACAAAATGTCTGTACGTTTCGTTATATAGAGAACATTCCAGCTGGGATAACAGCAGCTAGTCTCTTTGTTGTAGAGTTATCACACTTTGCTTCATCCTTTGTCATTTTCTATATCAAATGCATTATCATCAATCTATCATGATGTCAGTAACTGTGATTGTATCATTCCCTGCCTTCATTAAAATAAAATGTACATTGTAGTTACCTTGTGCTTTAGACTTAGTGTCTTATTCCTATTATCTTTGTTAATATTTTACCAACATGTATGAGTTCTCGTGAGAGATACATGTCATTCCTACCTATTCCGCAAGTTCTCCCTTCTATCTGTGTTTTGGTGTGCAGATCAAACCCTGTGCTATCTCGGCCGAGTTTTCCTGAATATTCTGATTTTTTTGTTCAGATTGCCTCAGAACGATCGCAAGCCAAACAAAACTAGTTGTGAGAAATGTTACAAATGTGTCTCAGCTACTTAAAACATGCTACGAAATACGACCACAATATGTGGGATCAGGTTCGTTTAAGGTTGAATAGCATTGTACAGGCTGAAAGAGGCTTTGACGTGAACTGATGGGCTTAACTTGGCATATTCTGTATGACGTTTGTGTGACATGAAAAATACCTAACTCCTCTTTTGACTCTCAATGTATTGTGTGTTAACCATGCGCTGAATTGTATAAAAGGTTGCATGTAGGTGCTGTCACATGTTGCACTGTGGGTAAAGAAGGCAAACACAATATTAGTTATGAATAATATTTTGATAATGTAGCAAGTTTACCATTGTAGTGAGTGAATATTGTTTTACGCCGCTTTTTGCAGTATTCCAGCAATACCACGGCGGTTTACCATTGTAACCATCGGATCCCCAATAGCCGGTTCTTTATGACTAGCCGGATACAGGGAACCCATGTATCTCCATGTGGGGCATGTTTCCCCACGTGTATGTTGAGATTATCAAGTCTTGGTGTCAAGTCTCAGTTTGGTGATGGTGGTGTGTTTTTTGACCCCTCGTAACTTTGACCACATGTGATGTCCACCGCACTTGAGAGACCAAGCAGTCATTTTGTCATGAAATTTCACCTGTTCACATGCAATAACCTATTTATGATACACCAGTGAAGTCGCTCTTCCTTGTTTTTCTTTCAGTTATATCAATAGTAATCTGTGTTCCCTAAATTGTTTTGAGTAGAATGTCATGCACTTTAGGAATTTAAAAGGATATCACTCGAGTTGTTGAAGTAATCAAACGATAATACGACTGCCAATGGATGTTCTTTAATCACGAAGCAATGGTGAGTACATATTATTATTTAGGTATATCGCATAGTAATGCAATTACTATATAAACGAAGCAGAAAACTTAGAAACATGAAAAACACAATCAATTTGAACATCGTAGGTCTCATGGGAACATCACTATGAGGGTAATAACGCTAGTTCAAATTAAACACAGGAGATAATTCTCACAGTGGCACACTTGCTCTGTTGTATTTACAATATTGTCATCGATCTTCTGTTTGTATTACTTGTCTTGGTTCCAGCCACTAATGCCTACGTCCACTTTTGCCTACAGTTACTATTGCCTACAAAAAAATAAAGCAGTGTGGAATAATGCCTACACAATGAAATCAACATACCCATGCTAGGAATGAACTCTTCCAATATTAGATTTCTTGATCTTAAGTTAGATCTTAAGTTAGATGGGCGGCGTACATATACGTTTTTCAAACACCCATGTGATCGGTGGTCGAAATGTAAATAAACGTTTAAAATATATATTTGTCTGTTATTTCTTAAAAGTAATTTTGTTGGTGAATGGTTTTTTGTAATTTGAGAACAGTTTGGTGGCTTATCAGTAAACAGAACATATATATATATATATATATATATATATATATATATATATATATATATATATATATATATATATATATATTTGAAATAGATCGGTTAATCATATTAATTATTCACGTAATGTAATAATAAATTACTGATAATACAACAAGTTGATGCGTTTAGTAATTAATATCCAAAGCATGATACATGAATTTGCTCCATGGATCTATTTTCAACATTAGCATTTTAAAAAAACATAAGACTAAAATATTATGATACTTCAAACCAAACCAAATCCGACATTATAGATGTCGTAGTCACGTTAATGTTGTAAAAAAAAGTTCAACATGGAAACACATTACAAATATACCCAGAGGTCATCTTGATAAATGTATAACTGCACATGTATAACCATGCATATGCAGACACATAAATTGTTGTATGCAAGTTGTTTAAGACTAAAGCAATACAATATCAATGTGCATGGTATATCTGGCAAAGCATCGGAAACTAACAGATAATGGCAATAAACAACAATCTTCATTTTCAGCATATGCATGACATTATCAACATGCTTATAAACATTGTGATAGAATCAAAACAATACTTGTCTGTGTCCATTCGACATCAAGATCAATACAGTTTCAGAAACAACAATCACAATGTAACCATCGTTCATTGTCACTACATATTTAAACAGCATCATCAGACAGGTAGACGTAAGGGTGAGGGGAGCCAGGGGAGTGGCTGTTGGACATTCCAGGGAACTCAACTGCCATGTTCTCGTCATCAACTTCACGAAGACTTTCATAGACTCCCACGCCCACACCATCGTCTTCTCCATAACTGATCATCCGTGAACGTGATTGAGCTGATGCTGTGTTCAGGCTACTGTGGGTTTCGGCAACAGTTACATTCCCACCATCGAGGGGTGAAGGGGAACTAATGACACGCGAACTCTGAGCAGCTGAGGTGCTGTGCATGCTCTTTTCAGTTTCAGTGATGGCGTATCCGGGTGGTGCGACTGCCCCTCTGCGGATTGGATCTCCGCCAGGAACTTCTACTCCATAGCTTCTGTCACCGCTCGAAGGAACCAAAGCACTTGAGTTATCAGACTCATCAGTGATGACTGGAAATTCACCTTGGACATCGACATCATAAAACGGAGCACTGGTAGCAGGGAGGATATCTATGGACGTGTCAGGATGTCCATCCTGGATCTCAACCTCGTAATCTCCATCGCCAACAGTGCTGGGAGGATAACTTTGTTCAAAACCCGCAGGAGAGTTAGGTTGAACTTCAACCTCGTAACCCGGTCCACTGGTACCTGGATCAATATGAACGTAGCTGTTTGGTCGTCCACCATGAATTTCAATTTCGTAGTTGACACCACCGCTAGTTCTTCTTTCATCAACTGTGGGATCGTCACCTTGAACCTCTACCTCGTAGGTTGGGCCACTGGTTGAAGGAACGACATCTACGGTACCCTGTGGTCGCCCGCCATGAATTTCTATCTCATAGTTGACACCACCGCTTGTCCCCTTTTGATCAACTGTGGGATCGTCACCTTGAACCTCTACCTCGTAGGTTGGGCCACTGGTTGAAGGAACGACATCTACGGTACCCTGTGGTCGCCCGCCATGAATTTCTATCTCATAGTTGACACCACCGCTTGTCCCCTTTTGATCAACTGTGGCGTCGTCCCCTTGAACCTCTACCTCGTAGGTTGGGCCACTGGTTGAAGGAACGACATCTACGGTACCCTGTGGTCGCCCGCCATGAATTTCTATCTCGTAGTTGACACCTCCTCTTGTCCCCTTTTGATCAACTGTGGGATTGTCACCTTGAACCTCTACCTCGTAGGTTGGGCCACTGGTTGAAGGAACGACATCTACGGTACTCTGTGGTCGCCCGCCATGAATTTCAATCTCATAATTACCACCAGCATGGCCGTCTGATGTACCAACGCTTCCTGAACTTGCAAAGGAACCATTTTGTCCAGTTCCCTCAGGGTAGCCACCTTGAACGTCCACCTCGTAGCTCCCTCCGTCCTCATAGGTTACCACTCTTTCCATATGGGTATAGGCGTCCTGACTAATCCTGACATCCTGGGCATCATGTATCTCGGTATTAATGTTGTCATTTTCCTCGTCCTGTGATTCCTCTTGTTCTGAGTGTTCTGCTAAAGGCTCAAGAGAAGGCTGAACAGAAGGGTATGGATACTTAGACCCAGACTCTGTGTCGGGTTCAGGCTGGGGCGTAAAAAAATATGTATCAATATCTCCTCCTTGCACAACCTGAGATGAAGACGTTTGAGATTCAGATGCCACCGCTGCTGAAAATGCAACAGTGTCTGAGTTTTCGTTGATCAGAGCCTCAATGACGGGTAAGGGCCCATCGTTGACGTCCGGTCCCACCTGGATGGTCACTTCAGAGGACCCAATAGCACGTCCACGAATTACCTCTGTTTCGATGACAGGATTGTCGTCATCAACAAAGGGGTACGGGTCGTGACTGACGGTTGCATTAGGAGCAGGTGTGGTCTTGGCAACAACTGCATAAAGCTCCTCCACTTCAGTCACCACCTTAGCATCAGTCGTTTCAACTATGGAGATGCTGTTATCGAAGACAGGATTAATCTTCTTTTCATCCTGAAACAAATAAATAAGAATATAATGTTTCCAAATGTAACATTATGTAGATAACATTATATATTCATGGAAGAATGCCACAGGAAAACGTATCAATGTAATGTGTTTATTTATGTCTTTATTTATGAGCACGAGTGATAATTTATAACGCGAACCCCAGGCAATGATCAGTCTCGATTATCTGCCGAAACAGATTTCACTGGTGGTAAAAGGCAAAACAGCATATATCAGTATTGTATCCATGCAAAATCTGTGTTTTAAATGTTTGGTTTATTTACAGTTCGTTCGTTTGAGTCAGTAAGATCAAGATCGACATGGAATTGTTAAAATAAAAAGTAAAGTTATATAACTTCTCACTTTACCTTCTCGCCGATGAGATATGCCACTGAAAAAAAAGTCGGTTTGCATTTTAAAATACCGCCAACGCACACTTGCTTGAAGGGCACAGTCAGCAATATTAAAGCGCCCAGTGAATACCCGAATCTGGACCAGACTGAAAGCAACGACCCACCCTGGCGGGATTTTTTGACACACAGTCAACCAGTTCATGGGGAGGATATGTGTTCTCAAAAGAAAGTAGGGAATATTCGAAAATAACAGATGAATACAGAAATACAACGAGGTAGTGAGTGATAGTTATGTATGGATAAGAACAAAAAAGGACGAGATGTAACATGATCAATAACGGTGGCGGTGTAATGTAAGGTTGCAAACAACCAAGGAAGACAGGGTGTGTAGTCAAAACATGAACGTTGACTTGATCATAAGGCGCGGCATGGTCCGAATCAATCTCAAAATGACAATTTAATGGAGTCATGCTCATTCCTCTTGCAGCGCCTGGCCAGTACAGCTAACGGGTGGCCTTTGACGGCGTACACGTCACGGACTGAGACGCAGTGAATATATGGGCTATGTCTCGCTGAGTACCTCCAGTTAGAAGCATGCCAAAAGCCCTTAGACGTTCATCGAGTAGCGAGTTCACGTGTTACTGTGGATAATGACAAGTCAAGGACAAGTCAAGAATGACCCCTAGCCACGTGCACGGGGGAATTGCATGGTGTAGATGCAGTGTTTATGGTGTGTTGGGGCGTTCTATCTCTGCCAGTCGGTTTTCTGATAAGAAATCATAACATAAATATTTCACAATCCCCTACTATGTAAAGAGAGTATACTCACACGCAAAAGAAAAGCAAGTGGTTTTAAGCAAATAGGTAACAAACACGGAACCAAAAATTGATACGAGTTTTAGCATGTAGTGAAGCCTGATCTTGGTGTTATCAATATTTTTGGTTGCCTTTTGGAAGCCCCGAGAAAATACACAACATAAAAAACGAATCGCTAAACGCACCATTTCAATGAATATGTGGGTATCATGCACCCATTTCTCGCGAAATCAAAAATGCACGAACTGTCACGAACTGTAGTGGGTATAAAACTGTGGCCGATTCTTGGACCTACCACTCCTTGGTCAACAATACCACGCCTAACTCAAATTCAGAGAAACCAGGCTATGGGACGTTTGGAAGCTGGAGAGTCTGTCCAAGATGTTGCCCGTCATTTCAACGTTAACATAACCACAATTTACCGTCTCCTGCATCGATACAATGCTACACAGACCCCAGATGACCTTTCTCGGCGCGGTCGTCCTAGGGTCACCACACCTCGACAAGATCGGCAGATTACCCGTCAACACCAGCGACATCCGTTCCTAACTGCAAGTGAAAGTGCTCGACAGACCATAGGAAGACATAACCGACACATTAGCCGGGACACTGTGATCCGACGTATCCGTTCCAACAACCTCAGGTGTCGCCGACCAGCACGTCGTCCTGTTCTCCAACCACGGCATCGACAAGCACGACTTCAGTGGGCACAGGGTCATCACAATTGGCGTCATCGTGAGTGGAGGCGTGTCATCTTCTCTGACGTAATCGCTTTTGTGTCTCCCATGCAGACGGAAGAGTCAGAACTTGGCGGCGTCGAGGTGATCGTTTCGCTGACAAAAACGTTGTGGAAAGGGATCCATGGGGTGGACCTAACGTCATGATATGGGCAGGGATTGGGCTTAATGCGAGACTTGGACCCACGTACTTTCTGAATGTTGGTCAAGGTCGGGGACACGGCGTCACTGCTCAGCGGTATATCGACCAAGTGATCAGACCCCACGTTGTTCCATTTTTTGCAAAACATCAACAACACATTTTCCAGCAGGACAACGCTCGACCCCATGTTGCCAGAGCTACCATGGCCTTTCTGCAACAACACAACATCCGTGTTCTACCGTGGCCAGCCCTCAGCCCTGATCTGAACCCAATCGAACACTTGTGGGATGAAGTTCAAAGGCGTCTGCACAATGTGCGCCCAGTCCCTAGAACTGCCAATGAACTACGCACAGCTGCTCTGGGTGTGTGCAGGAGGATCCATAGGGCCTTCACAAATCGTCTGATCCACTCAATGTACAGGCGATGTGTGGCAGTGATCAATGCTAATGGTGGTCACACCAGGTACTGACTGACATTTTGGGTATTGACCCGAAACTGTGTAAGCCCTTAACATTTGAAAAAAAACAATTATGTCATCTGCCTTTTAATCCATTAAACTGTCTTCAGTCAATTTTTTGTCAATCTTGCCCTATTAGTATTTTTTGTCTTTGCTGTTGAAAATAAATAACATGTATACCGCATACTCGACTTGCGTTTCTATTGCGTGTGAGTATGTATGTGTCGGCTCTTTCAACTCGCAGGGGCAATAGCGACCTACTCTGCCCAGTAACCACCATGGGATGAGTGAGGTGAAAGTCATGTGAAGAATTATTTTCAACCACCCAGTCAGCAACGTGTGGTGATAAGGCTTGTTTAAGATATTATACACATAAAACGATTGCGCAATATAGTTTGTTTCACGTTTTAGATCTGTTTCATCACAATTACTTACAAGAATAATGCTACTGTAACAAACATTCGTCTACATTTGGTACAGAAGAGAGTACCATCATCAACTTTGACCGAAGTGCTTATTTGAACGATTTAACAAGACTAGATATTGTGTGTTTGTTGTTTTACGCCGCAATCAGCAATATTCCAGATATGTGACAGCGGTCCAGGCAATCCAGTGATTGGCATCATGAGAATCTATTTACGCAATTGGGATACGATAACATGTATCAACCAAGTCAGCGAGCTTGACCTTCTGATCCCGTTTGTCGTTTCTTACGACAAGCATAGTCGCCTCTTACGGAAAGCATGGGTTGCTGAAGACCAATTGTCTACCCGGATCTTCACGGGTCTTAACGAGACAAGAAGCCATTTACAGTGATTATCATCTCCTTAGTGATTTCATCTCACTTGGTATTTATTAATTTATTTTCAAATTTAAGAATCTTTTCAAAGTGGGAGCTATAGCAATTGCTCATAGTATCCCTGGTATTTTTCAAGAAAACAAACAATGCATCTACCTGGTGTCTGCGGCTTTTTCTTTCCACTGAAAAATATGAAAAATAAAGTCAATGGTATAATCAATCATGAATATATTGAATAGAATATGTCTACCACATGGCTTTTATGTATTGGTTGTTTCTACAAGAGGTTTCTCTATGTTTTACTCAATGAAAATACATGCCTGTGTATATTCATTGTACTGACTACAAGGGATTAATCAGCTCAGCCTACTTAGTATCGATATATATCAACGGCATCCGAACAACGAATAGAGCAATATTTTTACGATTGCTTCATTGCTCGGGTAATATCTTACAAACGCGTTGCTATGATCTGACGTATCATAAAATACATAACTTGAAATATGGAGACTGACTTCTTTTTTTAGCTACAGCTGCAAAACCAGATACGTATTGTTAACACAATGAGCCTAAATATTCTTTATTCTAAAACATCTTGCAACAATGTATTTTTGTGGCAGACACATATTTTTTTCGACGGCCGAAGCATTATTATTTTTATCAAGCATTTTCTGAGACACTTTATGTTTTTCGATATGCTATAGCAACGAGTAAGTAGCGGAGAAGTCGTTGTCACTCACGAGTCTTTGATGCAACAGCAACAAAACAACAGCAGCAGGATGGCCATGAGAATCAGTAGGATAATAATGATGACAACTGCCAACACGGGGGTCCAGTCCAGCCAGGTCGCCGCGCCTCCAGCAGGCTAACAGGAAGATTGAATGCAATTTTACAAGTGTTAAAAAACAGAGCTTTTCTTTTGACCGGCCATTGACTATTAAATTGGCAGTTAAAACCTTCTTGGCAATGACAAAAATCTTCTGTTTTTTCCTATCATTGAACTTGATGACAGAACAATTGTCGAAAAATATGTATCGCAAGTGGGTGTTGGCGCCGACAGAAGGCATTCGGGTTCACTCGGCTTATTCCGCAAGCTAGACGATACATCAGTCAGCAATGAGTACTGATATTGCACAAATTCATTGTAAACAGTGTTGCACCAGGTCCCGCCGGTGGTATTTCATATAATTCTGAGGACACGCTTTTCGAAGTTGGGTACTTTGAATTGCAGGCAAAAGCTCAAGATTGTTGTACAGTTAAGTTCACGACTGTGTTGTGTCATGATGTTTGTGATAATCACGTGCACGATTAGTTCTGATGTGGGTGAGGTGAGGTGAAATGGGGTTTAACGTCGCGTTCAAGATTGTTGCATGCACGTGTGTGTGTGTGGCTTCGCCCCGATTATGTTCCTAGGTTTGTCAGCACCATACCTGTGCACCGAAGGCCAACGAATGTCTTCTGTCACAGCGACATGGGAGTTAATTTAACAATTAGCTATTTACAAACATCAAGACACATAGTTAATCTGTTTATGAACTATACTGTACTTAGTTGATCTCATTGAAGAAAGGTGCTCTTACCCCGATAGACTCAACGTAGAAGGAGTGAAAAACCGCCCCTGACTCTCTCCTCTTCTCTTGGAGTAGAAGTAAAAGTTGTGATGTTGACAGCAGAACATATCCTCCCGCTGGAACGGCAGTCGCCGCCACCACGATAACGTCAGATCTACAACATGTACAACGTCGCTGTTAGACATCATCACTGCCTTCATGGATCTGGAAATATCATTAATTCAGATCCAGGGTGTGAGTGAGGGTGGTTTCACGCCGCTTGTAGCAGTATTCCAGCAAAATCACGGACACCAGAAATGGGCTTCACAAATTGTACCCATGTGGGGAATCGAATCCGGGTCTTCGGCGCTTTAACCACTAGGCTACCCCACCGCCCCTCAGATTCAGAGAACGGTAATCGGACATATACGAAATACTTTGACATCTTTGTTGCATTTCTGCCCTTGACCTTCTGATAACAAAACCACTCCTCCCGATTTGAATATTTTAGTTCGCCTGGCTTGGCCAGTTAGCTCAATCGAATTTCGCCACATAGGCGATGTGCACAAACATTTTTATTTAACATAATGTATTTGCAGAATAAATCCATAATGTATCTACCTGAATTGTAAATCAAGTTATCTGTTTGTATCGCATAATTCAAGTTAATACTGGATGCTATGACACTCAGTATAATGCACGCCCAAATATGGCGCATACGGTGTGCTAAAGCATTGTTCGATTGTTCGTTTATTGTTTAACGCCGCACTCAACAACATCCAAGCTGACGATGACCTGTAAATAGTTGAACCTGGACAAGAAAAACCAATGATTGATATTATGCGCAAAGTCCCACGACCCCGGGGTACGATGGCTGATGCCATCAACCAAGTCACCAAGACTGACCACCCGATTAATTTAAATCATCCTTCAGCAACCATAGGTCACTGGGGATCAGGATCAAACCCAGGTAGCCCATGGCACTGCAGCAACTGACCACTGAGCTTCACAACCTGTCACACTTGCAGAATGTCACCCGGATAAGTCTTGTAAGAAACGCTACAGGTACAAGCTACAAGATCGCTGCTACGATGACCATGTAACAGGGGTTCAAGGTTCTCGATTTATTTCCATTTAGTTTCTTTTCCTTTGGTTATATACATTGATACCAACATTTACAGTTCAACTCCTTGGCGGTTCAAGAACAAGCGGTTGTTCATGTTGATATGAGGTGAGGTGAAATGGGGTTTAACGTCGCATCCAAGATTATTGCACTTATGTAGCGACGTGCATGCACGTGTGTGTTTTTGCGCGTGCGTGCGTGCGTGCGTGTGTGTGTGTGTGTGTGTGTGTGTGTGTGTGTGGCTGTTTGTACTAGTCCCGACGGATGCCATTTAAAAGTGCTGGCCCAAGGAGATACCATGCCGCAGTTAAACATGAATACCCCACTCAGACACAGTATGCTGACTCCGGGTCGACCACTCCTTATTTTAGCCCCTTAATGCCGATCACCAGGCAGGGTAACAACAAGTACCATCTTTTGGGCGGAAGCTCTACCACTAGACCATGGAGGCGGTCTTCATATAGATATGAATATATAAAGTAGTTAGGCGTTTTTGTGTGCGTGCGGGCGTGCGGGCGTGCGGGCGGGCGTGCGTGTGTGTGTCATTTACCTCGTGGTGTCCACCACTTGTCCGACCACGTGGTTTTTGATGCTGAGGATGCTGGCATGACTTATACCAGGGAAGGACATGAGTAACCTGTAAAAGAAAAACAGTCGTCAGTGTTGCCACACAACTGACGAAACCTGGGTAAATTAAGCTAAAGAGGGAGGCGAACCATTTTTTGGACAATTTCAATCTTAGTTCAGGCCTTCCTACCTCCATGTTGCTAATTAATAGATAAGAAATTGAAAACATTTCATGTTGGGAAGCCGCGAATTGTTTCAAAATCCCTGATGCGGCGTCAATCAATACTCACACACTCATTGTTGGGAGTCATACCTGATGATTTGTGACCGGAAAACTTTCACCTCTGATGGTTCTAGGTTGATGACCAATTTAACCTCGTTTCCTGCATTTGTGACGAACACCTGGTAAAATATTTTACATGACAGCCGTCAAGTCATTCACAACATCTGCAGATGGCAAATATCAACGTCTGATATCCACATGACGGTTACCTTTGATAGTTAAGCACCTCAGGTATTTGTGACATTTAAACGCGTCCATACTCTGAGTATAATCGAGGAGGAATCACAAATTTTCTGTCCCCAGTGAATTAATATTGATGGTTGATAATTTAGAAAAATATGGTTTGTCAGGACTGTTTGTTTGTTTGTTTGTTTGTTGTGTAATGCCGCACTCAGCAATATTCAAGCTACATGGCGGCGGTCTGTAAATAGTAGAGTCTGGACCAGACAATCCAGTGATTGACATCATAAGCATCGATCCACGCATCCCTTTAGTTGCCTCTTACGACAAGCATGGGTCGCTGAAGACCTATTCTCTACCTAGATCTTCACAGGTCTCAAGAAAATGAAAACAATAGAACAATTGTCATGAACTAGCCACTCCGACGAATAAAAAAGTGCAATGCTCAAGGAGAATTCCGGAATAAAATTGCACCGAGATCCTTGGCCTGTGGGTAATATAAGGTATAAGTAGAATCACATAGATCCATGGTATACTGACATATGTTGTAGCTGTAGAAGTCAGCAGGCTGTCAAACGCTTGTATTGTGAGCGAGTAAATCCTTGTGGTCACTTCGTTTAAGAGGCGCTTATTGGCCACTCTCCCGATCATGTCGACAGTGAAGAAACCACCGTCGTCGTTGCCGCCGATGATGCTGTAGGTGATGGCAGCGGACCCCGCAGCGTCCACATCTGTTGCTGTCACTTGGACAATACGCTGATCATAGGGGGCATTCAAAGAGATAACTGAAACGAAAGATGCGGTTGAACAAAATTTACAAATTGACAGCTAATTTAAGGTTTTAAGCAGACACCTAGATGTAATGTTTCTTCTAGTAAACAAACAGAAATGCCACAAGGGATTTATATATATTGATTATTTGACATCGTACAACAGCAACCTCAGCTTCCTATATACACAGCTTTTAAATAACCTGAATAAAAGGTAACAAGAAACTTTTTTTATAAGGTAACAATATATTTTCTATGTCTTTTTACGTGCTTTAACGATGTGAATTGTTACAGTTGTTTGTTTGTTGTTTGTTTCAATACCGCACTTAGCAATATTTCAGCTATATGATGGCGGTCTGTAAATAATCAATTATGGACCAGACAATCCAGTGATTGATATCATAAGCATCGCTCCATGTAATTGGGATACGAAGACATGCATCAACCAATTCAGCGAGCCTGACCACCCGATCCCGTTAGTCGCCTCTTACGACAGCATAGGTTGCTTAAGACATATTCTAACCTAAATCTGCAAGGGTGGAATTGTATCAATAATGCTTTGAAACAGACTAGCTGCATCTTAAAGCAACCGTTTGAGGTGAAAAACGTAAACAATAATATGCATTGATGACAAAAGTAGAAAACAAAGATTATATATGGGCTTACATCCGAAGTAGTGGTTGTTGGCTGCATCAAGGCTGTTAAATCCCACAAACACTGGCGCGTTGTCATTGACATCACGCAACGTCACCCTGACCGTAATAATGCTGGTGTCGATGGCGTTACGATTTGTTATGAGGAAGTAGTCGTTGTCCGCATTGGTTGCCCTGATGTCGAAAGAGTACGTACTTCTTATCTCACGATCTACCGCCTGGCTGAGCCGTATAACTCCTGTATCTTTATCAACCGCGAACTTTCCTTCACCTCCAGCTGAAAAGACAAATGTCACAAACACTGAATTAATTCTCTCTCTCTCTCTCTCTCTCTCTCTCTCTCTCTCTCTCTCTCTCTCTCTCTCTCTCTCTCTCTCCCCCCCCCCCCCCTCTCTCTCTCTCTCTCTCTCTCTCTCTCTCTCTCTCTCTCTCTCACCAACAATGTAGTAGTAGATGGTAGTGTAAAATTCCGAGTCGTCATCGGTTGCCTTCACACTTCCGATGGCTGCGCCTACGGTGGTATTCTCCCACAACAAGATGTCCATAGGGATTGTTTTGCCATTCTGTAAACATAAATGGAGATTTTACACACTTATAAACAATACTGCACATATTTTATGTATACTCTGTCCATTAAAGGCACCTTTCTTCATTTCAACTAATATTACTGTGTCTACCGTCCATTGAGTACACTTGTCTTTATTTCAACTAATATTACTGTGTCTAACGTCCATTGAGTACACGTGTCTGTATTTCAACTAATATTACTGTGTCTATCGTCCAATGAGTACACGTTTCTGTATTTCAAATAATATTACTGTGTCTATCGTCCAATGAGTACACGTGTCTTTATTTCAACTAATATTACTGTGTCTATCGTCCACTGAGTACACGTGTCTTTATTTCAACTAATATTACTGTGTCTACCGTCCAATGAGTACAGTTGTCTTCATTTCAACTAATATTACTGTGTCTATCGTCCGGTACATATGTCTTTATTTCAACTGAAATCACTGAGACACTTGCACTCATTTCAAATTCGGGGATGTTGTCATTGACGTCAATGATTTTCACGTAGAGATGACGCTCTGACCTCAGCGACAAGACTCCCATGTCCTTGGCGATCAGATGAAGCTGAGGAAAGACACACAACAATAACTGTAGTCATTTACACCACAATGGTAACAAAGGATATCGATTTAAAAAAATATTGAAAAAATAACAAATGATCTTTTCTTTTCTTTTCCCCCCCTCACCATATGGAGGAACATAACCTTCCCGACTGCTAAATGGTACCCGATGATATGGACTGAGAAGAGATAAATTATGAATATCATCAAACATGTATTTCGAGAAAATGAATTAATTTGCATAACACCTGTGCTGCAGAAAGAAGACTGCAGTAACAGCCAAACAGGATTGTGTTATACATCCTCTCACTTATTTTTGAGGACCCGTGAAGATCTGGGATTGATTTCCTCTTCAGAAACCCATGCTTGTCGTAAGAGGCGACTAACGGGATCGGGTGGTCAGGCTCGCTAATTTAATACTTAAGGGACCGAAGGTCAATGTGAACTTGTCATACTTGTGCATTGTTCGTCCATTACTTTAAAGTTTTTCACCGAAACGGTTGCTTTAAGATGCATCTCGTCTGTTTCAAAGCATTATTGAAGCAATTCCACCCTTGCAGATCTAGGTCTTAAGCAACCTATGCTTGTCGTAAGAGGCAACCAATGGGATCGGGTGGTCAGACTCGCTAACTTGATTGATGCATGTCATCATTCACAGACCGCCGTCACGTAGCTGGAATATTGATGACTGCGGCGTTAAACAGCAAATAGACTTATTTTTTAGGGATTAAACTGTTAGGATTTCCCAATACATTTGGTCCCGTGATGAAATGTCTTGAATACCCATCCTCCAGTTATAAAGAAGCATACCGTGTATCGCTCTACTGTTTCGCGGTCATATATTATCTCTGCTCTGATGACCCCAGTCACTCGATTGATGCTGAACTCCCCTGTGTTGGAGACAGTGGTGTTGCCGTCTTGAAAGTAGTATTCCACGATGCCGTTACGGCCGCTGTTGTTGTCGTCTGCGTTTGCGTCAAATACTAGCATACCAAGGTACTGGCTCTGTGATGGTAAAATGAACAGAAAGTTATTGTAAAGACACCTTTGACGATTAGAAACTCGTTAGCGTGAACATTAATCCACTCTTCGGCATCTAGAAACACAATTTTACATTAGTCGTTCAATTTGAGGAATAAATGAGTGAATGAAAGAGGCTAACCTCCGCTTTTAACAGCATTTCTGTCATGACACGGCAATCACATACACATACACACACGCCCACACACTTCTCCACACATATTTTCTCCACAATGAAATACACGAGCTTCGTTTGGCATTTCAGCTCTGCATTATGTTACATCACTATACTATAGAGGGTCTGCACTGACCTCCAATACAGATAATGACATATTATTATAAAGGGTCTGCACTGACCTCCAATACAGATAATGACATGTTATTATAGAGGGTCTGCACTGACCTCCAATACAGATAATGACATGCTTTTATAGAGGGTCTGCGCTGACCTCCAATACAGATAATGACATGTTATTATAGAGGGTCTGCGCTGACCTCCAATACAGATATTGACATGTTAGTATAGAGGGTCTACACTGACCTCCAATACAGATATTGACATGTTATAATAGAGGGTCTGCACTGACCTCCAATACATAAATTGCCTTGTATTATAGAGGGTCTGCACTGACCTCCAATACAGATAATGACATGTTATTCTAGAGGGCCTGCACTGACCTCAAATACAGATATTGACATGTTAGTATAGAAGGTCTGCACTGACCTCCAATACATAAATTGCCTTGTATTATAGAGGGTCTGCACTGACCTCCAATACAGATATTGACATGTTACTCTAGAGGGTCTGCACTGACCTCCAATACATAAATTGCCTTGTATTATAGAGGGTCTGCACTGACCCCCAATACATAAATTGCCTTGTTATTCTAGAGGGTCTACACTGACCTCCAGTACTTCTATTGTCATGTTGTCATTAGGTGGGATCGTCCACACGGGTGGAGAGTTGAGGGACTCCACCACAGTGATGACGATGCGGGAATATCCCTTCAAGCCATCTGGACCGCCGTTCCGGTCAGTGGCGCTCACGTTGAAGGCGTATATTCCAATGCGTCCACGAAGGCTCCTTTCAACGAGGATTTGTCCAGACTGGGGACTCACACTGAAGAGGCCTGCAATAATGATGAGTTTACGTATGTTGTGTTTATTAAATGGAAGGAAACATGTTATGTTCGCTCACGCACAGCTGGTTAATAGACATTAAGGCAGCGAGCTGTCAGAAATCAAAATGAACACATGTAGTACACTCCCGTGTCTTAAAGAAGAGGCATAAAATAGTAAATCTGCTGTAGTCGTCAACTCGAGAAATGACAAGACAGTAGTGACTGTGTCAGGTTTTACTCTTGGCAATATTCGAGCAATATCTATGGTGGCTGATTAAGGCCATCGTCCATATCGTCCTGAGAAATCCACGATACAGGAATATTGTGATACACGAAATAGAGATAACACGCAACGACATGGTGATAACACCACAAGACATGGCGATAACACGCAACGACATGGTGATAACACCACAAGACATGGCGATAACACGACACGACATTGCGATAACACGACACGACATGGCGATAACACGCAACGACATGGTGATAACACCACAAGACATGGCGATAACACGACACGACATTGCGATAACACCACAAGACATGGCGATAACACGACACGACATGGCGACAACACGACACGACATTGCGATATGGTAACGTGATATGGCGACATTGCGTTATGGCGAAATTGCTCGGTTGCTATTTGTGAAATAAATACACTGAACCGCAAAAGAAACGTCACCATGGATAGATATATGAGCAACCTTTGTCCAAACACTGTAAACATACTTTGAGAGATATTGAAAAGATGAAACTTGGCAAAACTGATCATCAAGGTTTCAAGTTGTCATTTAAATATTTGGGTAATTTTTGTGAAAGTTTCTAAAATTTAACATTACCTTGTCCGGAAAAATGAAATTTGATGATAAAAAACAAAGCAGATGACAGCGTATGACAAGGATATAATAATTAATAAAGATCCTCTAAAATTCTACTAACTTGGTTAGTTTATATACATCTATGGATTCGAATTGCCATCCTGAGGTTTTGCCTCCCATATTCATGATTTTGTTTAGGTTGGTTTTATTCTGTGCTGAGAAGGGTCAATATCAGCACTGAATACAGGAGATTAAACGGACTAATACAATTTGTATAACACACTGACATAATAAAACAGTGAACATTAAAAGTTCTCAGTTTTCTTAAAAAGTGAAGACGTGATTGACACTTGTTGTAAACAGTTTCCGTATTTCGTGAAAATGTCAGTTTGTTGTCGATGATAGTTCCCAGACTCTTTTGCAAACTCCCTCGTATCTCTAGTGTTTTGTTTTTATTTCTACCTTCGAAAATCTATTACAAGTTGTCCCAGGTCTGTCATGTGATGTACCATGCTTTTTGCTCAGACAACAAACACTTACTTTTTGTGCTAATTGCGTGAGTGGCGGGTACTGCCGACATAGCAGGACATATACTTGCCCTTTTTGCAATTGTCCGATTGCAATCAATGTGCAAATGTGTTATGGAACCCCGACCACAAAGCCAGGTTCTGAGAGTTTTAGTTACTATGGCAACGGAATGGAGGGCCTCTGAATTGAAACACTTTCATTTATTTAGATTTTTAGGGCCAGGGGCTGACCGAGAATAAGCAGACGTCATTTTGTAAGGTCACATTTTTTATTGGTCGTCAGCTGCATATTATCTGAAAAAGAATCCGTTCTCGTGTCTCCAAAATCTTATGTTTTGGGAAGATTGTAATTAAAAGTATAAGTTTAATTTGAATGATGGGTTTTGGTTATTGGAGTGACAACGAACATAACAGAGTGTACTCTTATCATAAACGGTTTTGCGGTCTATTGA